AACGGTGATGATGATGATGATGATGACGATGATGGTTGACCTCTAGCCATATGGCTATGCATAAATCTCTGTCCTCGTCTTGGCTTGCCTGACTAAAGGATACCTTCATAATGAAAGGGGACGCACTGTAGGGGATGAACCATACATGCACCTTATCATTGGTTGCTGCCTCGCACCTCAGGCCAAGTTTACCGTATCACTAATGGCAAATGTACTGTGTACCTAGGTCCTAGCTAGGCTCATGTGACGTGGCACAAGCACCATGCTTTATGGATGACCACAATCTACTGAGTCAAAGCTCCGTAACAATGGACTTGTTTGACCGGACTGATTACTACAACTGATTGGTAGTATCTAATGGCCACAAATACAAAGCAAGGTGTTTCGGGCGAAGCGGAAAGATTTGTCGCATTACTCATTTTCGAGAATATTCATGTGCTACAAATTCCACAACATGATGGGACCATGAGTAAGGGTACCGAACTCCGAGGCCCAGATCCTGATAGGGCTGTTCTTTGGCTTTCCGTGGTCTCCGCTTGTCCATGCTGTCTTGGCATTTTTTCGTGTTTGGCAAGCTAACTCTATCTGACATTGTGACAAATACCGAAATTTGAACTAGATAGGACAGTTAGATAGACATGATGGCAAAGCACGAAGTAGTAGAACATAATGACTGATAATGAAAACGGCATGGAACTTTGACTTGACCTGGTATAGCCTAGAGAGGTAGATACTAAGTCATCGTCGCATACTGAATGCCCTTAGCGCACAAATATTGTGAAAGCTCCCCGATGTTGCATGAGTTGTGATACCCGGTCGATCCGGATGTACATTGCCACCCACTCCTTCCTTGGCACACAGAACCTCCCATAGTTCCTAGGTACCTGTTCGATATACATGGCTCCCCCTAGTTGGCTCAAGTGACTCAAAGAGGAAGAAAAGCTGGTAAAAGAAGGAATAGATACTCTCAATTACTTTGGACTGTTATGATATATTCTGTATTATACTCTGTAGCATGTATGCACCTTAGCAATCAAAAAAGATCTACGATTTTCCGCCTTGGGCTGAAAGAAACTTGGAGCTTTCGGAAGGTGCCCGCGTGCGAATAACCAAGAGGGGCAAGTGCTATGCTGGTCCCATCCGAGCCTTCCTCAACCTTGATTGACCAAGGTACCAAAACGAAGCGGGTTGTTTGTAATTCATTCAAGTTCATCCATTGATTCAAGATGCTTGGAAATCCCTTACCACCCGGATTTCCCCTTCCCAGCTCACCATCTAGAGGATGTGACCATTTATATCTCTTTCTTTCAGGTCTCTCTACGGAGTACTTATTCACTCATTGTTTCACTAGTCTCCTTATTCAACCCCAGGGAACCAGGTAGTCGACACGCTTGGCCTATCTAACTGGCTAATGCTCGCGTGCGCCTCTAGCCTACTATGTGAATGATGTCGTCTTTCCTTTCCAAGTTTCCAGCACACAACTCCGTCCTACAGTAGTCTCAAACCTCCCATAATTCGAGGCATTTAGTGTCTCAGTGCCTGGGGTTCTCTGGGTGTGACCTACCTACCTACCTACCTACCTACATACTCTTATCTTTAGCGATTCCGTTCCTTGGTATTGACATCCTCCTCCTCTTCCTTTAAGTACTCTCATTCTTCTCCCTGGCTATCTCCTGTCTTGCCTCAAGGGCTCTTTGTCAACATGGGAGCTGGGCCTATCCTAGAGCCCCTGGTCGTAATTGTCCTGCTCTTCGGAGGGACCTGGATAAATCGGTCTACCGCAGCTTTCTCTTCTGTGCGCAGAGTTCGTAGATCCAGCACGTCTACACGTGCTTGTTCTCTAGACTCGCTGGAGTCGGGCTTATCGTCACCAACATCAAAGGACGCTCTGTTGAACGAACGATCCCTGTCACCAACACTGGTGCAACCCGACGACGCTCAATGGCGCAAACGCCAGATTCGGATTCTCTCATGCACCTTTGAGGTCAAATCTCCAGATACTGCTGTCTTTCAAGACCGTCTTCTCAGTCGCTTGCTCCGGAAGTTCCCTTTTCTCGTTGAGTGCTGGTACTGGGCCTTAGTTTACTGGGTATGTCCTGGGTTTCTATATTGTTAACAATCTCTTTTCTGCCTAAGAGGGGAAAAGGAAAGTGAAAAGACAGTATGCTTACACGTCAAACTCTAGACATATCAGCTAGGCCGTGCATTCACTGCGGTCACCCTCCAAGAAGGAACTGTTGATGTAGCAAGGAAACATGCTCTTCAGATCATCCAAATCGAGAAAAGCTTGTGCATCTTCTGGGAAGTCTCAATTCAGCAGTTTTTCCTTCGGCATAGTCAGCTGATGTCCGTGATCAACTGGGTGTACTCCTTCATACACATTCCAGGCACTATTGCCTTCCTCGTTTGGCTCTACTATTACACTACGACGCGGAACCGAGTCGATGAATCGCAGATGGGAAAGCCCTTGGGTGCTGCGAAAGGATCCCCTGCTGGCCCGCTGCTTTATCAAGCCCGGCGCCGTACCCTCGCTGTTTGTAATCTCCTCGCTTTCGTGGTCTTCACTCTGTGGCCCTGCATGCCCCCTCGCCTCCTCAGTGACAAGAATGTGAAAGGCCCCGACGGAAAGCTAGGACATAGCTACGGCTTTGTCGATACTGTGCATAGCGTCAATGGTGCTGGTAGTGTCTGGACCGAGAATCGGTTTTGTAACCAATACGGTAAGTATTGCCAATTGTCTATTGCGCTTTTAAACTCTTCTCCTGCGGTGCTAACTGTAAACTTGTCGACAGCTGCCATGCCATCGTTGCACTTTGGATATTCCCTGATGATTGGACTTACAATCATGACTATCCCATTGCCGCCACATCAACGCCGGCCTGCTGTTCGCTCGCGCTTGTTGGGTCGCACGCTGGGTTTCCAGCTCCCGTCATGGTCCCGTTTAGCTTGCTTGTTGGTCGGATTTCTCTATCCGTTCGTTATATTGGTCGCAATCATCGCCACCGCCAATCACTTCATCCTTGACGCTGTTGCAGGGACAGTCGTCTGCGTCCTAGGATGGCGGTTCAATGGCATCTTATTGAATCTTCTGCCGTTGGAGGACTATTTCCTCTGGCTAGTTCGCATCCATAAACCAGACCCCACTGCTATGGACGGTATCGACTACTCGGACGATAACTAAGTACCAAATTATCTTACTCTTTACCGATGAACTGCTCTCTGATGCGTCATGTCGGACCTCAACTTTGGAACTGAACATTATGATATCCTTCTCTATTCTTTATCTATTATTGTTGTGGGATTCTACGGACCTCATTTAGGTTTATTGTTCTGCGAAGCCTGCCCTTACACCTATGATCACAATGCGACTTATGACACTCGGGGAAGGACTAATAACGACTGTATCTTTTCTCCATGATATCATTACATCACCTGAAATGTGTACATATAGATGACGAACTAGACGTTCTTAATGCGGGAATAACCTGCTCCTGTCCCAGCACGACGGCATTTTCATGCTGAAAATATCACAAGCATCAGCCGAGCTCGATACGAACTATCTATTACAGTAGCTGAAATGTTGCTGTTTCTATGCCAGTGGAAGGCAACAGAAGCCTCAAAACAGACCGGCAGGATGATATTGTATGGCTGAATATGATTACAATTGAATACCTACCTATGCATGGCTACCAGCGAGCTACGCAGATTGTTAATGCTGGATGTTGAACCGTTGATTAAGCAAAGAAGGCCAAATGAATAGGCTATTCAACCCTATGAGCTATCATTATGCAAGCCCATAGAGCCATATTTCACGAACTTGAAGAGATCAGCAAATACGGAATAAATGAGATCGATTCATTTTCAGTGTTACTTGAAACAGCGTGAAGATTCGCGGGGTGCCCTCACTTTTCATTGACCCGCCTCTCTTCAGGTGCCCCATTCATCGATATTCCTTTCATCCAGCACTCCCCTGACTGATTTCCTTGTTCCTATCTCGCGAGCCTAGGAGATTCTTCAATCATAGAAGTGTGTTTGATTTCGTGAATAACCAAGCGTCTCTGTACCTTCAAGTTTTCGTCACGCCAACCCGGTATACTCGGCTATTGGCGCATTGAGCGAGTCCGGGTCTATAGGGTCAACAAGGTCAGTCATCATGTTCTTCTTCTGCGCAGTAGTTGCTCCTGCTAACAATATCGCCGGGCCGGACGTCTGTAGCTGCTGCACTGAAGATATCGCTATCATACATTTGGTCGCGTCGCGTCCTGTCTTGAAGTAGTCACAATTGACTTCCGGAGAGAGGGGCGTTTTATCTGCCTTCGGGAATTTGCGGCTATTGCCGTTTCTTTGCAACAATTGATACTACGCGCAGAGAAAGAGTTATCGCAGTTTGAACAGAAGGCTCTTGTGGTCCTTTTGCTGCAATCTGTCAGTTTGCGCTTCTCCGTGTTTCAGAGCTAAACGCTAGGCGATCATCAACAGTCCAAGTGTTGTTGAAGCCGCGTCGTTTCTTTCTTGCGTCTTGATCATCCATCAACTACCTCAGTCTATTGATCTGAGAAGGTCCCCGAATCATCCATTACTGAGGGATTCGCACCAGGCCGATTTTGTATCTCCCGGTCGGCCTTGTCATTACGCAACCTGGTGGCCTGTCGGGTCAGATTTCGTCTTGTGGGCTAGCGTACGACTTTCTAACATACTACGATACGAGCAGCAGACCAGAATTTACCTGGGGGCTGTTGTTATATTCGATCTTTTGAACTCGACCGTTGTTGTGTTGAGCTCGTCCGTTGCGTCATTTGTGGATTGGCAGACTCCCTTTTCCCCCAAGCGCACGCGTTGTTCGAACTTCCCGCCTCCCGGCGTCGCGACCTTCTCCACCACATCTCCCGGCTCAAACCACCTTCATCCTCCCACCACCTCCTTCATTGAAAGCCTCGGCTTCCTTCAACCGCATTTCAGTTCATTGTTGGTCTGAATTTAATTGAGCTTTGTCGCACGCTATGGCCGAGGATACCCCTGCTGTCTCCAGGACAGAAGCTGGCGAGGCGCCTGTTGAGCGCGCTCCTTCTGCAGAGGCCAAAACTGCGCCCGTGGAATCAGCTCCAGAGACATCCAAGGAGCAAGAAACAGAGAAGGTCAATGGCACCCAGGAAAAGACATCCGGTAAGAATTTCTCAGTACCGTTGTGTTGTGACCTGCACTTTTCCCAGTCTTTTTTTCTTTTCCTTTTTCTTTGGGAAGGGGCAAGGTGTCCCTCGCTTTCGCTTTTCACCTGAGACGTTAATCGCTAATTAAGCTTCCACTGTCTATCAGGCGAGGCTAGCGTATCTGAGGAGAAAAAAGAATCGACGGATACTCCGGCTGAAGAGTCCAAGGCACCTGTAGAGGCTACTGACGCGAAGGAATCGGAAGCGACCGCCGCGGCGCCTGCAGAGTCCGAAGCCACCACAGCGCCCGAGGCTCAGGAAGCTCCTCCATCTTCCAAGAAGTCTGGAGGCTCGAGGCGCAAATCCACTAGCGGTGTCCCCGAACATAAGTCCAAGCTGAACCGAAAGAAGTCGCAAGCTCGCATGACAAATTTGCACGCGAAGCCCGGCGAGTACTATCTCGCGCGCCTGCGGAGCTTTCCTCCCTGGCCATCTATCATCTGTGATGAGGAAATTCTTCCTCAAACTCTACTGAGCACGCGTCCAGTGACCGCTATGCGGGCCGATGGCACCTACAGAGAAGACTATGCAGACGGAGGCAAGAGAGCTCATGAGAGAACTTTCCCTGTAATGTTCTTCGAAACAAACGAGTTGTAAGTGCCATGCCGAACTTGTCTATCTCCATGGAGTGGGCGGCTAATGGAAAGAACAGCGCGTGGATTCCCAACACAGACCTGACTCCGCTCGATCCCGCCTCCTGCAAAGACGTACCAGAGAAGGGCAAATCGAAACAACTTCTTGCTGCTTATGCCGTAGCCGCAGAAGGTCACGATTTGCAATACTTTAAGGATCTGCTGGCTGATCATCAGCGCGCATTGCAGCAGGAGTTGGAAGAGCAGGAAGCTCAGCAGGCCGCCAAGGAAGCGGCCAAGGCCAAGAAGAACAAGCGGAAGAGCATGGACGTTGTTGATGACCTGGAGGATATTGACATGGAGGATGCGGACGAGCCCAAGAAGCCAAAGAGCTCGAAGAAGCGTAAGAAGGACGCAGAAACCGATGGCGAAGCTGAGAAGGTGAATTATGACTCTCCATTACTCATTGACAGTTTTACACGGTCGCCAGACTAACACGCTTTTTTTTTTCTGGTGTTATAGCCTGCTAAAACACCCAAGACTGCCACCAAGTTGAAGTTGACCACCCCCAAGACCCCGACAAGCGAGACTGAGAAGAAAGCCACTGGCGCCAGCAAGGCTAAACAGACAGCAAGCGGCAAGAAGACTGGCAAAGGTGCCGTCAGTGACGAGGGCGAGGAGGATGCTGGCGCTGCGCCGAAGGTGCCAGAAAAGCAAGTAGACCAGGGGGAAGTCAAGGAAAGAAAGCAGAAAGAAGGTAAAGTCGACCTATCCGAAGATCCATCATGAGCCCAGATTAACTTAAAAGACAGTTCTCTTTGTTCGCCACAGACTCCAAAAGGGCTTCATTTCGCGTGATCAACCCCCCAAGGAGGAGGAGATGACTACCATGTCTAGCTACTTTACTAGACTTGAGAAGGTTGCTGATGATCTTGAGGTCTCGATCATCCGTGCAACCAAAATCAACAAGGTTCTCAAAATGATTGTGAAACTTAACTCTATTCCTCGAGATGAGGAGTTCCAGTTCCGTCGCCGTGCTATCAACATCTTGTCCAAGTGGAAGAATGTGCTCGATGCCGATACCACGACAACACCGGCCGAGCCAAAGGCTAATGGAGCTCACAAGGAGGACAGCGTTGAAACGCCAGCGAAGACTGAAACCGAAGGGGAGAAAGAGGAAGAAGAGATCAAGCCAGCCAAGCAAGATTCGGTGGAACCACAAGACGAGTCAATGGCTGATGTTGACGTTGCTTTGGAGAAGGCAGAAGCTCCTGAACCAGCCAAGGAAGCTTCCGAGAAAGAAGTTCCCAAGACTGAAGAGGCGACCGGTGCCAACGTGGCAGAGGAGAAGGCGACCGAGGAGAAACCGGCAGAGGAGAAGGCAGAAGAGAAAGCTGTTGAAGCAGCAGCGTGAACATAGGCACACATGGTTGTCTATATGCGTTCACCGAATTCTCTCATCTACTTGTACCTCTTATGCTTACAATAATGCGCCTGTTACTTCAGTTTTGGCATTCCTGCTCATTTTCTGTTCGGCTGGAATTCCCACTGATATTCCCTATGTCCCTTTTCCGCCGCCGATCGATGAGTGGAGATTTGAGTGCTCAAAAGCCTTTTTAACTCTTTTTTCTTAGCAAGGGGCCTTGTCCCTTATTGTCTCTGTCTATCCCATGTCTATCTTTTCCTGTTTCACTGGTCAGTGACAGTGGCAAGTCTGCAAATGGAACTGGGTACTATGGATTGAAAGCAATGTTGTGTGGCATGGTCGGAGACACCGTGAAAGGGTATCAAGTGCATTGAACCAAGATGAGGAAGGAATAAGCAGACCTCGCAGTTTCTCTGTATCTTGGGGTGTTCTCCAATCCTTTCAATGTGATGGGGTTTCTCGGGTCTCTTTGATTAAGTCTCAGAATGTTAATTTAGTCTCGCGAGCTTTTTGTTTTGGGTTGAGATTTAGTCCTTGCAAAATACAAAGTTATTCATATGAAATTCCATCGAGCATATTGTCCAGAGACATCATTGATAACTTGATAATATATGGTATCCTATTCTATTATACTTGGTGCTGTATGGGCAGATAACATCATATGATACAGCGCAACACCTATTTCCAGCCCTGGTGGACCCGGCATGCTCTATACATAACTACAGCGCCAAAACGCAGATTGTGAGTGAATAGTAAACAACCTCAGAAGTCTAACGAGATTCATGACCTCGACCTTCTTCAACAGCCACGATGATCAAAACGCAGATGTCGTCCACCTTTCCGCCTCGGTACCAGTCGCCCGGATAATAACGCTGAGCTTCTTTGGCGAATGGGCCGTCCCGTCTGGAATCCATGCTTGCCCGTTTGGCTTCGCCCGCGACTGTGGAAGCGAGTAGAGACTGGAGCGTATGGTGCTGAAGAATTTGGCTGGATGGCGGGACATTGCCTGATGTGGAAGCATCGGCCACCGACGACTTGGACGACGAGGACGGCCAGGGAAGTAGAGAAGCGAGGCCGTCAGGGGCCGTCAGGGCTCCGAGATCATCCGATACTTTGATACCCAATTCGGGTGTGGCGGTCCATGCCCCGGTCAGAATCATCCGGCTTGTGACGAGCTTCAAGATGTCCTGATTGTTCAAGTTGTCGTAGACCCCATCGGTAGCTAGCATGAGCACGTCACCATGCTGCATCTGGAGATTTGTGACGGCCGCATCGCGCGGCGAGTCCTCCAAGAAAGAGCCGCCGAATATGGAGGCCTGAGCGCGCATTTTCGGGGGGATGATGCTGAGTTGATATGGTGTGTTGAAGCCATGAGTCTGTGGGGCCGAATAATGATGCACAGCAGCAAGACGGAGGAGCATCGAGCCCGAGTCACCTAGGTTGGCCAACTCGACCTGACCATCTTCCAAGCCCACCCCGACCGATGCAGTACTCCCGCCAGCCCGAATCGACTTGTCCGCCACCAGCTTCTCGTATCCTGACTGAAGCAAGTTCTTGGCTCGCAATTTGTCGGTCGACGAGTCCCAAGATAAAGCCTCTAGCGCCATATAGCGGCACAGAGCGTGAGAGAAGTTCGCTGGGTCGACCTTGGACTCCACCCAGCCTCCAACTCCGTCCGCGACCGCGAAGGCGATTGCGCCGGAGTCTCGATTTCCAACTCTGCTCACAAAGAAAGCATCTTCCCCACTGTCTGGTCTCCTCTTGCGTCTGGTGGCCGGGTCGATTTCTTCTGGGACTACGCCAATGGCATCGTGAAGCTCAGGCGTAAAATTTTGGAAATTGGTGGCAGGGTGGAAACGGCGGTTCTTTGGAGAGGACGAGGCCGCCACACGGTAGGAGATGCGCGGAGCATCGAGACTGAACGATGACGTTGCATGAAAAGTCCTCCGCGAAGATCGTGGGAGGTGTGATGCAGATAGTCGCCGGCTTCTAAGGGAGGAGAGGTAGTCCGGTAAGTGTCGAGACCATATTGTGCTAGACGGCGCAAAAGAGACTAATCTGTCTCTTGCGACGAATTGTAGGCTACTGCAGGCTGAACTGCAGGCTCTACTGGAGGAGGCCAGCGGGATCATCGGCAAAGAGCAGGATCGTCACCGGAGGGCCCTGTCCCTCACAATACCAAGACCCTCCAGCAGAATAATTCCGTATAACGATATTGTCTGCTGGACCATTTGAAGGATGATGAAAAACGCTTGGCGATGATACCGAACAAGCAGCCGACCGTCACGGATCAACCGCTTTGAGCCGGACTAACTGGGAGTGAATGATAGGACGTAACTGACGGAGCAATAATGAAGTCCTCTACTTTTCGTCCGGTCAATTGGAGACTTCTCGCAGGATAGAAAAGCCACTTGACCGATCACTGGATCAGCCAGAGGTCATGAGAAGATCGTGGATAATCATTCTTGCTGAATTTTCCCTTCCATGGCTGATGGAAACAGAATAAGACGGGATCGCCGACCGCCTGGCGTCATCGACCGCCTCAAAGCGAAAAAGATAAGGGAGTTTGACCCCGAGATTTGGTGACATGATTTCGATACGGACACTTCCAGACGTAACTGTTAGTTTTACAACAACTCATTGATGACTCGAGCTCTTGAATTTGCGAAAACTAGATAGATGGTGCAGGAGAAAATTGACATACCCGTAGCAGTCTGGACGCGGCTCATTCTCGCTGAATTGCTTCAGCGTAGGTGTCGATCTTTGCAAGAATAATAATGAGAATGAACTTCTTGCCAGGATAGACTGCACGAGTGAAGCAGAGTCTCGTAGAAAGATTCTCCAAGGAGAACGACCTGTGGTGGTGACAAAACGGTCAATCCGCCCTGGACAGACTGTTGAAAATAACGTCGTCTCCGCGTTTTCTTTCCTGGCCTCCACTAGTACTGCAGTGCCACCATACGAGCAACCGGTGGCTCTTCAGACTGATAAATATCCATCGGAAAATCTTTTGCTACTCTCTGCGATTATACCTCTGGCGAAAAGACTATCTAATAACGAAGTCATTCTTTCGAGTTTTGTCTCAAGCTCCCCGCCAGTATCTGCGCACTCAGTGCCAAAGATGATGCACCCTTCAAGACAGGCGTACGTGGAGGAGTCCGAGGTACGAAGATTCTTCTCCTTCTCTGGCCCTCTGCTTCTCGATCCATATAGATCCTAGATTGATCTACCTATGTTCACATTATCAAGTCAAAGGCTCTCTTCAGGAAAACTTCCACTGACGTCCAATGATGTTTGGGTTGACTAGGATACGGAAATGGGCATTGACCTGGCAAATATTCGTAAGTAATAGCTTCCCTCGCTCTGACTTTGGCTTGCGACCCGAGTATTCAGTCCTTCGGCTGACTCTTCCATGTCAATCGCAGCCGTCGACCGCGACTATGATATTCCCTCTGCTGCAGCGGGCATACCCGCTGAACGAGCATCTGCCATTCTATCCCAATTTGAGCGCAAGCGACGAGCAGCCGCCATGGCGGTTCCGACGGACGATAACCGTGTGCGCGCACGACTGCGTGAGCTCGGGGAACCGATCACTCTTTTCGGAGAAGGCCCCGTGGACCGGAGAGACCGACTGCGTGAGCTTCTGACCGATCTGGCCGAGAGGCAGGAAGCGGCGGCCGCGGAAGGTGATATATCCATGCGAGGTACGACAGAGGAAGCTGAAGAGGCGGGAGAGGAAGCAGAACAACAGGAAGAATTCTACACAGAAGGCTCCGAGGAGCTACTCAACGCCCGAAAAGCCATCGCCCGCTATTCCTTACCCCGAGCGAAAGCACGAGTAGAGCGCTTACGAGAGGAATCTACAATCCCATTGAGAACACATATCAAGCACCGCAAAGCGATCAAAGAGAAGTTGCAAGGGTTCGACCTTTACGGGTCGCAGATTGCGGGCGATCGCCCTGTGAGCATTTGTCGCTTTGCGCCAGACGGAAAGACAATCGCTGCGGGCAATTGGGGTGGCGGTATCCGCCTGCTCACCGTACCAAATCTGGAGGAGAAGTCAAATCTCAACGGACATACGGATCGTGTCGGTGGATTGGCGTGGTTCCCCGGGGCAACGCTTCCCACGTCGAATGTGTCCGAGTCGAGTGTCAACCTTGTCTCCGGAGGCGGCGAGGGCAACGTGGCGCTGTGGTCACTGGATAAAGATACACCACTAGCTACACTGTCAGGCCACAGCGGTCGTGTGTGCCGGACAGAATTTCACCCTTCGGGGCGGTACGTCGCCTCTGCTTCATTCGACACGACGTGGCGCTTGTGGGACGTCGAGACAACTGTCGAGCTCCTACTTCAGGAGGGTCATTCACGAGAGGTTTACACCGTGGCATTCAACAATGACGGTTCTCTGTTGGCTAGCGGCGGTCTGGACAGTATTGGTCGAATCTGGGATCTGCGGACGGGCCGCACGGTGATGATTCTTGAGGGCCATATTCGAGAAATATACGGTCTTGACTGGGGCGTCGACGGATACCGTGTCCTGTCAGGTTCGGGTGATGGTTGGATCAAGTGTTGGGACCTCCGACAAGTACGCAATATTGGTGGGATCGGCGCACATAAAAGTGTCGTGTCGGATGTACGGTGGTACAAGGGCACTGAGTCGGCTGCATCTTATCTGCCATCCACTGAAAACAACGGGCGAATGGATGTTGACAGCAACCCGACGCTCACGACGAGCGAACAGTCAACGTCAGCAACCCCCATTCTACCAAAGAAGTCAGGCACATTCTTCGTCAGCAGTGGGTTCGACAAGAACGTCAATATCTTCAGCGCGGATGATTGGTCTTTGGTCAAGTCCTTGAGCGGCCACGCCGGCAACGTCCTTAGCACAGACATCAGTGACGATGCCCAGTGGATTGCCAGTTGCGGGCACGATCGGACTGTGAAGCTCTGGGGCATAGAGTGAATTTATAGCACTTACGAAGATTAAA